TTCTTCTGTTCTTATTCGCTAATGATTGTTATTGGTTTGTTGGGTTTCCACCCTGAGCACAAGTTGCATGTTGAGAAGTATGATGTAATTTAGTAAACATTTAAAGTTATTGTACTAATTTTCTGCCACTAGGAGTCTCTCAATACAATACAAAATAATGAGAAAAGATCAAGTTTGGAAGCATCGATTGCCTTGAGTTGGTGTCTCTCGTTTAGGCTTCCTTCATGTAAATGGGACTGCTCATTATTCCAAAACCCAACTTAACCGAAAGAGGAACGAAGGCCCATTCTTCTGGCGTTCTGTTACCGGTTGTTAGTTAGTTTGTGAGCGTCTGACACAGCGTCATTTGAGAAATACAATAGTATAATGGATTTTTTAGGTAAGTTGTTGAAAGAAGCTCCAGTTTACATCCAAAAACTGCACACTTTACTATGTTTGATTTTAAACTTCTACTATGCTAATGCCAACTCTGAGACGGTTTCCCTGTATGCGTGTCAGCATTTCTGTGATAGACAGTGGGTGTAGCATACACAACTTAGTGTGTGTTTCTCTGATTTTGAGAAACGCACATACATCTCCTTGAGTAAAGGAATGTGAAAACCCCTACAGTATCTGGTTATAAAACCTTGCATCAATACAATTTAGAAGGACATTTATTTTCTCCTAAACTAAGGTTGCAGTACAGAACAGCTTACATTAACAATTGAGACTAAACAAAGGTGCAACAAGACTACCAGGTTAGGTTTAGGCAATGAAACTACCTGGTGAGATTTAGAAAACAATGACAATGATTTTGCTTAAAATAATTATGTTTGTTACAATATTGGACATACATTTAAAACAAAGTTTACTGGATGGGTAAAAAGTTTTTTTAACCCATCCATTCACTCTTCACTTCCTGATATTTTTAAGATACGTCAAAACAAACATAGTATAGGATAAACTGGGCAAATGCATAAAATACCCTGTACTACAGTGGATAAAACTTGGACTGAGCTTCACTGATTTTCTCAGTAGAAGAACAGAGAGAAATGAATGACTGCTGGTCTTGTGTTATTTCGCTCTTTAAGACCTGTAATCACTTGACTAACAGCCTTGCCCCTTGGCCTCAAGATCCAAAGCCTCAGGTAGTGACGCAGCCAAATGAAACATCCTGTAAAACCACCTGAGGAGGTCTGTCTGAGGTCACATTAGGAAACAGGCTCAAAGCAAGTGAGTTCAACTTCACTGTGAGAAGGCTTTGTTTCTACTGTACGTGTGTTCAGTATTTTGGACCGCTGACTTAGTTCCACAAGTAATCCCAATTTTGAGGTGCTGATCCTGACTTTTAGCTCCTCCTAAATTCCATCCTGTGCATTCATATTTCACACTGTAACAATTTTCAGATGGCGTTCGTCTTGTTTAACTTGTGTTGTGGCATGGGAGGCTGAAATCACCTTCGCTGCAGAGTTGAAAGATAGTCCCAGCTGGAAACCTGAACACAATAAGTGACAGGCTTCCATGGGAACAGAACGTTATAAATTCTCTCTCTCGCTCTTACAAATAGTGGCAGTGGAAAATGTTCCGTTTGGATGGTCGTCCAGCTGTGAAGCGTCTGCCTCACAGATTTAAACATCTTTGAACTTTAAACATTAACAGGGTTTCCTTACACCATTAATAGTCAGCCATACATGTCTTCTTTTTTTAACAGGATATTTTGTTGCAATAAATCAATCTAAGGAATAATGCATAAAAATATGTTACTTAATTTTGAAGAACAAACAAAGCCTTACTTATTTTTTCGATTACCTCGATTATTTTTACTCCTATTAAAATACCCTTGGCTCTTCCTTCTAATTCTTTCTTATATTCATAGGTTTATAGCAACATGTTAGTAATTATACTGAGGTACTGTACATCAAACACATGTAACTCTTAAAATGAGTATTGTATTTTCATAATTGAAGTTGCAGCATCCTCTAGTGGAGTGAATCCATATTGCATTGTGGCAACTGCTGTCATACAGGAGTCTGCAGATTAAGATTATAACAGATGATATGGAATTAGGTGTATGTGTTTGTATTTATGTTTGTTGATTAAAATGTGATAATCAGAAGTAACAGTGGTTAAGTTCATTGTTAATTGTTTGTATATCTGCTCAAATCTGTCAAAGGTCAAAACATTGAGATTGCAACATACCTTTATTAAACAATTGAGAGCAGTCAGAACTATTGCTGTGTTCTTACCCTTTATTTAATTTATTATTTTTGTGTGGATTTGCAGACTAATTTAGTATTATCTTAAGCAACAGTGAGAGTTCACACTTACACATGGCGTTCCCAAGTTAAAGATACTGTCCAGCGGTAATATTTAATCTAGCTAAATTAGATTACCTGTGTTGGATTATTGAACGTGCAGGTCAAAGACACAATGTGTGGCATGTCAGAACAGAAAGAACTCAGACCTATAAACTTCAGGCAAACATGCCAATATGAGAAGCGTTTAGCTGCAGAGCTCCAGGCTCAGGCCCACTAGTCCTGACCTTGGAAGAGTTGTGATGTTGTGTACACCACAAGACCATTATAAGGATAAGACACTATGTGGTCATTAGTTTGAATAAGACAAACAAACTCTAGCAGTAACACCAGGGTTAACGCAACGTTAAACAGCAAATAGAGTGTAGTCCAAAGTAACCATGAGTTTGTTAATGTTAGAATGTTATGCTATGGCTCGCAGCAGACTACTTTTTACATAAGCTGAAATGATTACATTAGGTTTTTTGCATTGTTTTCCTGATGTTTTCATGCCAACGTCAACATAAGTTGGGTAAAGTTAGTATAGCTATCTAACTTTAGGTAACTCAAGTGAGTTACCTTAGTTTATAAATGACAGTTATAATGAAATATTAAGGATGTATTTATTTGTATTTATTGGACATGAAACAATGTAATTAATACATGATGAAAAGCCTTTTTTATTTATTAATGATCAAACTGATAAAACAATACACTACATAATACAAACAAAAGTATTAAAATGACCACAAAAAAAAGACAGAGTGAACGTTGGGCATTAGGGGACCCTGGGGGTCTGGAGCTGTCTAACCTGTTTGATAGTCCAGCATTGTGAGTCTATGGTTATGTTCGATTTGTCAGTTTAGCTTAGGGAGGTTCCTCACGGAGTGAAGTGACCCGGAAGTCCCTCAGTGGCAGCCATGATAAGAGCTGTTGAATTCTCTAGATGATAGGAAAGGAGGTTTCAAACTTCCTTTATAACCTCCTTTAGTTTAGGAAACACTGGACCTTCCTTCATGAAAGGAGAGGACACAACATTCGGCCGTTCAGGAAAGCAACCAATCGTGACCGAGAAATACGTATCATGAAAGTTACAGTGCTTATTAAGCGTTTTACAATTTATGCCTTAACTTGCCAAAGTGCTTTGTTTTGACCGTTCAACACTATAATAATCAAAAGGAGAAATATGAACGTTACTTTTTCCCAGTAGAATGATCAAATAAAGTCAACATTTCACAGTATTTACTGAGTTGTATGGGGTTTCTTCAACTTTTTTAAACATGTTTGAATGGTGATATACACAGTGATAGAGGTTAAGGCCTAACAAGTTTCATACATATTTTCATACATCACCGGAGGGGGGAGTTTCACTTCACTTTTTTATTTCAACTCCAACCTAATGAAGAATACATGTTTCACTGTTGTCCACGTTCATTAAGCCTGCATAGGAGCACGGTGCAAACTAACTAGATGCGCTTAAAGTAGTCCGCTGTATAGAAAACTGTAGTTTCCCAACACCCGACCCAACGCACATTATAAAACATCCTCTGGCGCTTCATAAATACATTGGATAGTGTTAGTGCAGTCTCTTTTCCTAAATCCTTTTGAATTCTCCTAACCACTGTTCCTTAACTCTGTGAAGTTTCACACAGAGGTCAAGAACATAGTGGACAGGAAAAGACCATAGGAGCTGATTTTAGGACAATTCGACCGCAACCTATCTATCTCTGTACTTAGTTTGAAGCGTTGCTGCCACACAGTGGTGGTCATTTGACTGTTCTGAAACCTCAATAACAAAGCTGTTAAACAGTAAGGGATTATTTCCTGTTTCTCCTTAGACCTTCACTCACATGGTCTTTTTTTTTGGATATAATTATATTTTTATAAACTGATATAAAAAAACATTTTCTTGAAAGGCAGCTATGGAAGACTGCTATCAATGTTTAGATGAGATGATGCTGAATATGAATGTATGTTGCAGTGAAGGGATGGGGCAATGTCATGAGAATGACATAATCATGAACGCATTGATGCATGTATGGTAAATAATACAAGGAAAAACAAAACTGAATAAAACAGGTTTTTTTTCAAAAGCTGGCAATTATCTTTGTTTATTTACACATGTATTTCTATGTAAATGTTCCCATTGAATACAGATTCAGCTATATACTGTAACTTGACAATCCTGTTTGTATAGACTATATGGTTTTAAGTCCTATGTGTGTTTATTTAAGTATGCAAACTAAAAGAAACACAATAATTCAAAGTGTTAGCCAGCAGACATTCAGATAACTGTTGCCCTCAGATAAACAACATACAAGAAAACATTTACTGATAATGTTATTGTGAGGGAGTAGGTCAATATCTGCAAAATAATTGTGAAATCAAGAACATTTGTCCTATGTGTGTTTATTTAAGTATGCATGTGGTGTATACTTGCAGTAAAAAAAAGTGGACAGCTTGTGATAAGGCTGCATATATTAGCATACTACTCATTGCACCACACATTTACACATTTACTCCATCCCTGAGGCTGTTAAAGCAAATACTACTACCATACTACTGCTTCCCCTACAACAGCTTCTACAACTACTTCTCCTCTTACCTACCCCCCTCTTTAGACAGAACACACTGTTGAGGGCAGCATGTTATTGTTGTCCCTCCATCAGTGACTTCAGATTGGCAGGTTGTCCTCCAGAGTCACGTGGTCCTGTTGAGCATCCCTTGCAGAGGCATCACAGTGCGCAGCGTGTCTCTCCACCACAGACTGCATGCTCTCCACTACATCATGGACCAGGATTGATGCGGTTATGTATTTTAGTCGCAGCATCTCTTGCTTCCAGTTTTCCTACCGCTGGTCTGCTCTCTGAAATCGCAGGTAAGGCGTACGCTAGGTAGCAAATGCATTGACTTTAATGGGCAACTACGCATGATGCTGAGTCGCTGTCTGCGTAATTGCTATGCAACAAAGACACGTGCAGAAGCGCAGTCAATTAGTATTTTTTTGCACAGACTGAGATATGCACCATGGTGAATCGATGCTAGAGAGTGTGTCCTTGCAGGTATGACGTTGTCTTTAGGTGCACGGCAATGCTTTGAGGTCTTTTTTGTGCACAGTCAGAGCAGCAGGGCTGTGGAGGCGGTGGCTTACTGGTTGTAGTGTGGTCCTTGTTGTGCAGCAGTATAGATTAGGTACTAAAGTGCATTGGCTTATTCCTAATAACCTAATAAAGCATGAAACAATATATGTTATCTGTGATCAGTGTGATAGTCTGAGATTCAAGTTCAAACAGAATCTGGAGGTGTATAAGGTCACATACTGTAGTAATGACTCAGCAAATATCGAGCGTAAACTAATGGTGCGTCACAGGTTTTTTTTTTTTTTTCAAATGATGGTACAGAGCAGCTGGCTGTGTAGTTCTTGTGGAAACTGAATGCCTGTGGTAACCTGACACATTTGAGCGTCACTGTTTTATAAATATGGAGTTTCAGAATTGAGTGCAAGTATTGATTAGTGCACCACTTATGTCTGGGCAAGAAGAAGAAGTGGAGAGTGGGATAGCTGAAGCTGTGTAAACTACAGACTGTCCTCCAGTAGGGTTATCATGGTAAATGACCTGAAAGAAAATATTTAAAAAGACTTATCTGTTTTTCATGTAACATATAATAATAATCTTGCTAATTGTACATGACTGAAACCTTATGATTGGTGCCAAGTGATTAAAGGATCAGGTCACCATATTTACATATAAACAAATACATGTTATTGTGAAACTTTATTGGTATCTCACCGTGCATGTACAAAAGTTTTGGTTTGAATTATTCCTGAGTCGTGTATAATATTTCTGCCTCCAACTTAATACCAATAGGTTGATTTATTTGTTCAATGTGTCCTTTAAAACAAGATTATGAGTCTCCAGTTATGGTAGCAGCACTACTTGCTACATGCTAATGTCAACATGCTAATAAACACACACTGACCATGCTAACATACTGCTACTTGAAAACTATTATTAATTACAGTACTTATTATTGCCGGCCAAGAACACATACTATGTACGTTGGACAACTTTACTATTTGCAGAAGTCCCATTCTCCTCCTTTTTTTCCCTCAGCTCCCGCACCAAGCTAACTTGTCCTGCAACTGTTCTCCAATGAATCCACAAAATACAAACTGATCTCAACCCTCCATCCAACTCTTTGTAGGACAGTGAACAAACTGACCTCGGAATGTCAAAGTTGCAGAGCATCCTGGGATTGTGTAGTAATTTGTAATCCCACACAATACTAGTTACTTAAAAAATAACACAATACTTAGACTACTAGCTAGGCTGTGATCTCATTGATCAGTGATGGTCAAATGACTTTTTTAAATGTGACACATTATATACTGTATTAGTTAGTTATTTTAACGTGCATTTTGTAAATATTTCAAAGTTATATTTCATGTCAGAAATTGTATTTATTTCCATTGCTGTTGAGATATTTTACTCTGGACCAAGGTGTTGCATATCCTGCCAGAATAAGTGTCCCTATTAGTGCTAGCATCGGGAAAACTGTTTTCATGGAGACCTTTTTTATGATAGGGTATCTTAAAGTCTGGGCAAAGGTGACTTCTTTAGTAAGGGTGAATTATCCCTACAATATTTTACTTGTAATGTCAGCCTTTCCTGTGATTTGAATATAATGTACATGAGCTTAAGCCTTGCAGCTTATCCCACTGTTGCATCTGTCTTCCACATCACAGTGTTGTATTTGAAGCTTCTGTAGAACTATGAGCCACAGTGTCTCTGAGTTTTCTACCCACTTGTCTCTAAATATAGATCCATACATGAAGTAATACTGTAGCTGCGTCTGAAATCGCTGGATCTGGGCATCTGGCTTGGCGTGGGGGGGTGGTTGTTACCGTGCAAAGACCTGAGAATGAGGATTATGCAGGTGGCCTCTGATAAGACTTTCTGAATGTGTTTGCAGAGATAGTGTATTTGTTGCAGTGCTGCCTGCTGTGCAGATATGCAAGGCTACATGAAGTACTGTGTGAGGGTGCTACAGAGTGATGCGTGTGGTGTGACAGGTTAACTGTGGTATGCAGTGACTTGTGATCTTACACTCTCCCTCTGCACTGTAATGTGTGAAGTCCTTTCCACGTTTGCCATCATGTACTGTGAAACTCTGCAAGATGTCTCCGCACTGATGCCAAGAGTCATTCTTGTCCAGTTTTTAATCAAAGTTTATCATTCTGGTTTCTACAGTGCCATAATAATTCCAAAGCTCACAATAAATTATTGTTGGTGAAACGTTGTATAGGACGTTCTACCAAATAGTTTGTACATGAATAATCATCAGCCCAACTACAACTGTGGATAATATTTTATTTAGTTTCGGAAGTTTCAATCATAATGCATTTATTGTAAGGCGACTTTTAGTAGCTGTAGTTATGATGGGAGCAAAGAGGGAAATAAGGTGATGAGGAGTGAGGTACAAGGTCGATGTAGATTGATGGTTCAATCAAACACACAATTTTTCCCAGGGGGCATTTGTTCATGTCTCGTGAGAAACAAAAATCAGCGATAATGTCAGGTACCTAAAGCACCTGCGTTATGAACCTAACTCAAATACATTTGGAACCTAAGTTTCAAGTCCTGGCCCTGAAGCCATGACAAAAAACTGAGGGGGACTGACTGCAAAAATAAGTATTAGAGTCACTATAAACCCCAAATCATAAAGGATGAGGTATGTTCATCAATAATCAGTATTTACAATATTTGCACAACTGTGTCGTCCAACTGTTCATCTTTTACTCAGCACTCTTTTGGTTTGTGCCAATTAAAAGTTCACCTTCCTCTTTTCTCACACTTTCTCCGACTCTCTTTGAGCTTTCTGTCCAAATTGGCTGGCAGGCTTCTAATAAAATGTATTAGAGCAGAACTGCACCTTATTGATGTTATACAGTATTTCTCTAGATAGTCATGTGAACATGTGTTCTTAATATGTATTGCATATCATATTGATGGCTTGAAAAAACTAGTGTTCATTGAAAGTAATGGTTTTGTTATGAGATGAATCAAAATCAATCTGTAACCATTTGTATTTAATGATCATTTAATTACTTTTGCTTGGAAAATGACCTATATCTTCAGGTTCAGGCTTCTAACTAGTTCTCACCTGTTAATCACTTGCTATTTACACGCCAATTGCTGCTTCTATTTGTTTAATTTGATAATACTCTGAATATCTTTCAGTGTTTGACTGTTGGTTGACAAAACAAGCTTTTGGATGAAATTACTTTTGGATTTGTGAAATGATTTTTGGCCTTTTTTATGTACTTTTTATATAAAAAAGGTTCAATCTCCAGTTATGTAATCAATGTGTCTGCGTAATATTGGTGTTCTTAGTTTTTGTCATTGATATCTTTCATTATCACTTTCTCTTTTTTGCCGTCATTATTTAAATTATATTTTACTTACATAACTATTCCATCATCAGCAGCACATTTTGAGTTAAGCGGGGGGGGAAATTAAGGATCAGCTGGTGACTGTGCTGCCCTCTCGTCCATATGACCGAGCATTCGGGCCAGTACTTTTTATTTTAAAGGGGTCTGTCCTGGGATACCATCACCATTTATATCGTGGTTCTGTCATTCACCAGTGGTTTTGTTTTCCTTTTTTGTGTCTGTTTGCATATCTCAGCTGGCACCCCCCCCCCCCCCCCCCCATGCCACAACACTATCAATGTCTGTCACTAATGTAATGTATGTCAGCATCCCCTTCACACATTCAAAGGGCGAGCCATTCAGAGCTCTCTGATTACACTGCTGGTATGGAGGGGGTGGGACATTGGATATTACTGTAGCAAGGAGGTGGGTGGTGGTAGGCAGGAGCTTGGGCAGCTTTGGCCAAGGTCACTACACACTCCACCGAAGGCCAATCAGGATGACACACTGGGCCTTCAGACACAATAGAAGGTAGGAAGGAACGTGTGTAGGGGTATATTTTCCATTTTCATGTTAAAACTGCACAAATATGATTGTGTGAGGTGTATCCATTTGCAAGCTTCTTAGTGAACTGTTGGACATGCTTTAGCACAGCGTTACAATGCCACATTGTGCTAAATAATTGCCTAATTGCATTTCTGCATGCTCATCTCAGACTTATTGGTGCAGAATCTTGTGCGTAGTGTGAGCTCCGAGCCAGCTGTAAATGTCGCAGAAGGAGCAAGTGAGTCAGCCGAATTAAACGGTGACAGATGTAGAGTGTCTTATTGTGACAGTGGGAAAACAGCCGCTCCAAACAGAGTGGGTCACTTGGGATTTATTGACTCCGTTCCATCAATTCCCATGACTTCTTTATGTACACAGTATCTAATATTCACAAAAATGTATGCTTGGTTGAGGTTATTATGTTTTGTTTTGCTTCATCACTGCATGCTCTATTCTAACTTTATAATGAGGGATCAAAGGAGCAGCACATTTTGGTAACCCCTATCTCAACCCTGTATCCTACAAAACTGTGTTCCCATGCAACTGAAAAGCATCTAAGGGTATTATCTCGATTTTTAGATGTTTCCTTAAATCACCTTTTAAATGTACTTGTCATACATGGCACCCCATGTGTTACATATCAAAATGTTCAGAACAATCTCTGGTATTGCTATAAATGCAAATTACTCACCATAGAGCACTGTGTGATGAGATAAGTAGCTCTAAAGCTTAACATTTGACATCCGATTTCCGGAAAATCTTCAAAACTCTTGTGAAAACACAAATTTACTTATTTCATCACATTTTTTTGGTGGTTTAGATTTGGTTACCAAAGTCTTAGGATCACAAAAGTAGTGAAATATTTGAATTACATTGTATATAAATGTGTAATTCATGTG